TTGGTAATACTTATATTTAAAGGATGAAAACACAGAAAGTGATTTGAGACATATCCCTCAAAATAATTTGAGCAATCTGCAACATTGCTGGAAGTCAATGTTTATTAAAGACATGTTATGACTGGGCACAGTGGCTCATACTTGTAATCCTGGTACTTTGAAAGGTTGAGGTGGAAGAATCACTTGAGCCTTGAAGTTTAAGACCAATCTTGGCAACATAGAGAGACCTCAACTCTACAAAAAATAAAATAAAAAATCTAGGCATTGTGGCACACGCCTGTAGTCCCAGCTACTTGGGAGGATAAGGTCGGAGGACTGCTTGAGTCCAGGAATTCAAGGGGTAGCGAGCTGGAGTTATGTCACTGCTCTCCAGCCTGGGTGACAGAATGAGACCCTGTCTCAAAAATACTGATACTAATACTAGTACTAATACTAATAAAGGCGCCGGGCTCCGTGGCTCAGCCTGTAATCCTGCGCCTTTGGGAGGCTGAGGTGAGTGGATTGCCTGAGCCCATGAGTTCGAGACCCACCTGGGTAGTGAGACCTCATCTCTACAATAAATCAAAAAAATCAGCCAGGCGTGGTAGTGCATGCCTGTAATTCCGGCTACTTGGAAGGCTGAGGCGGATGGATCACCGGAGCCCAGCAGGTCGAGGCTGCGGTGGCCAGGAGCGGCCACTGTACTGCAGTCTGGGCGACAGAGTGAGACTTCAACTCAAAAAAAAAAAAAAAAAATACTAATAAAGGCATGTTATTACCCAGATGGCTCAAAGGAAATATTGCAGAGAAAGTGACATAGTTTCTGTTTCTCCATCTAATTTTAGGATTCAGGTGGAACAGTGGTTCTCAAAGAGGACTGAGTGTTTGAAAATATATGAGAATGGAGTTTTGGGGGATGGGGCATTGTTTGCAGGAGAAGCAGTGACACAGTAATTAAGAGACATTATTGCCATTTAGAGGGTGACAACCAGGGTTGATATCCTGCCCAAGCAAGACATCTCAAATAAAAAAGAATTGTCTTAACCAAAAGACTAGTACTATATCTTTGGGAACTGCAGTGGCATGTGGCCAAACTTAGTTGCCAATTGGACCTGACAAAATGAAACAATAAAAAAAAAAATGCTGATTAGGAACAGGATAGAGAGAGAGGTCATGTCTCCATAGGATAACATAGTTTTTTAAGCTCAAGATTTGGTTGAGGTCCAAGGAAGCTATTAAAAGAATAAGAATGCAGAATACAAAAAAAAAAAAAAAAAAATCAGAATTATGGGCAAAACTTATTTTCCAAGAATTTCTCAATCAGAAGCAGCATACCTTTATAGTCTTATTATTCTCTAAATATCATCTTATTAAAAAGACAAAATCAAAACTAATATACAAGACTAACGTTTTACAAAAAATCAGGTCATTCATTTCACAAATATTTATTAAGTATATTCTAGGTTCTAGGTTGCTTGAGACTCTGGTGATATAATGTGAACAAAAACAGATATGGTTCCAACTGTCCCTCCTCAGTTCATATTCTAGAGATACTTACCAGATTCAAAAGATTTCACCTTTTTGCATAAGCATTCTTACCTGGTAGATAATCTGATTTTTTTCCTTTTTTGTATTTAATTGAAAGTGGAATCAGGATATTTCAAATATGAGGATCAAAGCCATAGTCAAACGTATGGAGAAGAAACCTGAAAGGAAAAGATTTCTGTTATAATTCATGCACTGCATAACAGCATTTTGGTCAATGATGGACTACATATACTACAGTGATCCCATAACATTATAATGGAGCAGAAAAATTTCTATTAGCTTGGTGACATTGTAGTTATCATAGGGCTCATAACATTGTAGTGCAAGACATTACTCACCTGTTTGTGGTGATGCCGGTGTAAACAGACCTACTGCACTGCCCGTCACATAAAAGTATAGCACATGCAATTATTTGCAGTATATAATATTTGATGATAATAACAATTATCTTACTGGTTTATGTATTTATTACACTATACTTTTTATTGTTAGAGTGTATTCCTACTTAAAAAAAAAAGTTAACTGTAAAGCAGCCTCAAACAGTTCCTTCAGGAAGTTCTCCAGATGAAGGCATTGTTACCATAGAAACTGACAGCTCCATGCCTGTTATTGCCCCTAAAGACCTTCCAGTCGGACAAGGAGTCGAAATGGAAAACAGTGATATGGATGATCTTGATCCTGTGTAGGCCTGGGCTAATGTGCGTGTTTGTGTCTTAAACGTAAAAGTTTAAAAGAAAAAATAAAATAAAATAAATTTTAAAGTACAAAGGCTTATAGAATAAAGATACAATGAAATAAATATTTTTGTACATTTATGTGGTTTGTGTTTTAAGTGTTGTTTCAAGAGTCAAAAGGCTATAAAAAAGCTTATAAAGTAAAGAAATTTATCAGAAACTGAGGTTAATTTATTAGGCTAATTTATTGTTGAAGAAATAAAATTTTTAAATAAATTTAGTATAGCCTAAATGTGCAGTATTTATAAAGTCTACAGTAGTATGCAGTAATGTCCTAGGCCTTCACATTCACTGATCACTCACTCACTGACTCACCCAGAGTACTTTCAGTCTTGTGAGCTCCATTCATCCACAGGAAGTACCTTACACAGGTGTACCATTTTTTATTTTTATACCATATTTTTACTGTAGCTTTTCTATGTATAGATATGATAAATAGTTACCACTGTATTACAATTGCCGGCGGTATTCAGCACATAACATGCTGTACAGGTTTGTAGACTTGGAACCATAGGTTGAACGATATAGCCTAGGTATGTAGTAGGTATACTATCTAGGGTTATGTAAGTACACTCTGTGATGTTCATATCAAGATGAAATCACTTAATGACAGATGTTTCAGAACGTATTCCCTTGACGCATGGCTATACATGCCAGGTATATATGATCATGTGCTTTGTGAATCCATCTTTTACGAACGGAGTTCAAAGCTAAAATGTTTTACTACATAGTTCTAAAGGCTTTAAACTATAGTTTTAAAATGAGTTTAGCTAACTGTTATTGTCATATGAGTTTTTTAAATTGTTAGGTTTCTTTTTGTTATTTGGTTTTCTTGGTAAGTAAAATAATTATACAAATCTAATATGGTATAAATTAAAAGGAAAGAAATGGGGGGAGAGTCTGTATCTGAATGATCCAAATTAGGTTCTAACAATAGTCCATTTTCCAGATAATAGCTTATTTCTTTTATTTTGCCTTTGCCTGAGAAAAGAGAGGATTTAAGTCTTACACCTCCCTCTTCAGCCCCTTTCACCACAGTAGTCAAATCCTTTAAAGAACACCGTCCCTGGACAGATCAGGATTCACAGAAACTAAATCTCAGAAATGGTGTATATACCAAGATTGTCATTTCAACTGCCAAACAAAGAACCTCCTTAGTAATATTAAAACAACATCAACAACAACAAAAAAACAAAACAAAAAACATTGACAGGAGTTGAGTCATCCCAACGTTTCATTGTCACGCCTCAAAGCAGGATAGACATTTGCATATGAATAATAGCTCTCATTTCCCACACTGAAATGGAGTTGGATGTACTGGTGCTGCCAGTGCAATCAGAACAGTGCTATGCTAAATAAGTAACTTGGCATTAGAGAAAATAAATGATCTACAGAATGTTGGCTTTATGTTAAATGTATCAATAAAATGACCTGAACTGTGTCCAATTTAAAAAGTTATATAATTTATTTTTTTATGGGAAATGTTTATTAAAATAGAGTCCTCAGAGCAGCTTCACCATCTCTTAAGAACTTGTTGGAATCTTGACTCCCACCCAAAATATCAGAAACTCTGGTGGTGAGGCTCATCATTCTCTTTTTATCGAGTCTCTAATGATTTTGATAGATGTTAGAAAGACATAGGCATAGATTGTGTCATAGAATATAGACTGTGCTTAAAAAGATACAGGTACATATTTGTGTTGCCCCCAACCTACAGTAAGAAAAGCCCTGGGAAGAGGGAGAGAAGCAAGAGGAAGAAAGAGAAAGACAAAGTGTGGAGGAGAAGGAGGGAAGTGGTGGGAAGGAAAGAAAGTAAGGGGGGGGGGAGAAAGAGAGAGGGAGAAAAAGGGAAATAAAATAAAAATTAGATTTATTAGGTTTTTTCTGTGTTTTCTACTCTAGTGATTAGACTTTGCTTTATCTTTGTAATGTGATAAACAGATGCCTTGGCAAGGAAAAATTGGCTCATCAAGCACCATTTAAAATAATCAATCCAGAATTTCTGATAAAAGATCACAGGAAATATTTATTCTAAAATGTACAAAACTATTTGTTCTCTTGGAAATCGCTTCAGCTGAACTGTTATTTTCTGTCACTTGGAAAATATTTTCTTTTTCAGCTAGGAAAGAAAAGCCACCCCTCTCCTCATACTAAAAAGAACACATCTACAAACACAGATACACATTTTTACATAGAAGGATACATGAGTAGGTTCCACAGAAATCTGTCATTTTTATATTAAAATTAAAAGGCAGCCCAGCGTGGTGGCTCACACCTGTAATCCCAGCACTTTGGGAGGTGGAGGCAAGAGGATTGTCTGAGCCTAGGGGTTCAAGACTAGCCTGGGCAACTTGGAGAGATCTTGTCTCTACAATAATTTTTTTTTAAAAAATTAGTTGAGCATGGTGGCATGCACCTGTAGCTCCAGCTACTTGGAAGGCTGAGGCAGAAGGATCCCCTGAGCACAGCAGGTAGAGGCTATGGTGGCCATGAGCATGCCACTGCACTCCAGCCTGGGTGACAGAGTGAAACTCTAACTCAAAAAAATCAAACAAACAATCAAAAAATCATTAGTGAGTTTAATATGTTACTGTATAGGATAGATATAACACAATTAACTAATTATACTTCTTTATTTACTAAATTAAATTTTATTTATAAATTTTAATCTGAAACAGTATGCAAAAGGGCCCTAGCCATTTCATGTAGAATGAATATATTTTTCCATGTGTTTTCTAGAAGTATGGCACAGTGGGATCGCTTTTCTGGTCAACAGGAGGACTCTGATGGCTGCTCAGAATCTGTGAAATTTGATGCTCGCTCAATGACAACTTTGCTTCCTCCCAGTAAGTAGAAGGGAGCAGGATGCCCATGGAGGTTGTTCTTAGAGTTATTGATGATATATAAAATTATAGTCGAGACTTCCCTTAAGTGTGTATGAATGTTAAAACAATACTTATTTGATAAATAGGTCTACTTTAGCAACAGAATAGAAAATAGGTTAAATTGAAGTAAGGAAGTATTGTATGAAATTAAATTAATCAACAATATTAAGTTCTCTCATTTCCCAGTCATAGAACTAGGTCCTGGAAATAACTATGATCCTAGCACCATGAACTTGAACTAATATTTGAAAATCATGAGTGGTAGGTGCTTATATTCATTTTCTAAGGCTGTTGTAATAAATTACCACAAATTGGGTGGCTTAAAATGATAGAAATGTATTCTCTCACAGTTCTAAAGTCTATGTATCCTTTTGAAGGTTCTAGAAAAGAATTCATCCATACCTCTTCCTGTTTCTAGTGGCTCCTTACAATTCTTCGTGTTCCTTGGTGTGTTGAGGCAACACTCCAATCTTTTCCTCCTTCTTCACATGGTCTTCTTGCCTGTGTAACTGTGTGCTCTTTTCTCTTCTTATAAAGTTACTAGTCATTGGATTAGTTTACCCTAATCCAGTATAAACTCATTTAACTTGATTATCGCTGCAAAGACAGTAGGACAGAACTGCTTATAACTGTTAAGTTTTGAAGTAGAAATCATATTACCAAGGGGATGTGTGGAGAGGGAGGAGTCAGAAAGACATTTCAGTTCGAAGAAGCAGAATATGCAATGTTAAAGGATCATACATGAGTTCCACATAGTTAAACCTGGAATATAGATCTCAATCTCAGGGTGCGGTGGCTGTTATGTGCTGTGCAATGGATGAGACAATGTGGCACCAATGAGACAAATGTAAAAAAAGGTAATAATAAGAGCTACTATAGATAGAAATGATGAGAGATAGAGCAGGAAGGGCAGAGGCATTGAGAATAGAGAAAAGGCAACAGAAACTTTTGAGAAGTATTTAAACAGTAGAATACACAAAATCTGTAACTACAAATTAGAGATGAGGGAGAAGATGACTTCTAGGTTTCAGGCTTCGTCAATTCTGCAGTTGGAATAGCCCATTTTGTTTGTATTATGGGTTATTTATTTTCTTTTTCCTTCAATCTTTTATTTCCTTTCCTTTTTCAAAAATTTCTCTTCCTTCCAACACTTGATAGAACATTATAGAGCAATATCTAAGCTTTGTTTTTAATTTAGAAGTTTGCAAAGTGAAAACAAAATTGCTTCCTTTTTATTGAGCAATAAAAGCAATGACCATTGAAAGGAAATTTTTAATGGAGGTTTTACTTACCTAATTGAAGAAAGGTCTTCCTCATTTATTAAATTTCCCCTTCTCTTTACTATAATTAGCATCCGATTACATGAATCATTGTTTCATATAAATGCATCAGACTAAAAGGTTATTATTATTAATATGTTCTGAAATACCTAGAAGATGAACTTCATTGATCCATTCTAAAATACAGTCAAAATGTGAATCATTTGTGTTCATTTTTTTTTTTGGTATTTTTTTAACATTGTATTCAAATCATGAGAGGTATCCAAATACAAAACTATTGAAGTAGAATTGGAGAAGAAAATTATTTTTGCATACCAGTCATTGAAAATAAATATTTCTTATCTGATTCTAAAATATGAAAATATAAATTATTTGAGAAATTTTGCCACTCAGAATATAATCTCATGTGAAATACATAGAATAAAGTTTATGTTTGCATATGTCAGTCTCCAACTGTCCCCCAAAATTAAATAAGCACAATTTGTGGAGAAGAGTAATGTTCTCTTAGATGTTTAATGAATGGTTCAGTAAATCAAATGTCCATAATGATACCTGTATTAGGTTTTCCTGTGACTGTCCCTTTATTTCCTATTGGATAAATGTGTACTAATTTTATTTTTTGCCCTTTTTATCCAATAGGTTTGATAGTAACAATAATGATTGAAAATTGCAAAAAAAATTTAAGTAAGAAAAGAGCCAGTTTTTTTTTAACACGTTGGGCTTTTGTTTTTTAGATCCTAAGAACGGCCTTGCTCTTCAAGAGAAGTTGAAGTCCTTTAAAGCTGCATTGATTGCCCTCTATCTCCTTGTGTTTGCAGTTCTCATACCTGTCATTGCAATAGTGGGAGGTAAAGTATTCCAGAATTCTGAAACTTAGCAACTCACCCTGTAAATTATGTATTGCAAAAATAAAAGAAGAATTCAATATTTTGCATCTGGTAGATGTAACGGAAAAACTTTATATCTCAAAATGTTTTTCAAATGTATTAAGTTAAAAAATATATTCTGCAAAACGAAGTACAAACAGCTATTCAGTTAGAAGAAAAAGATAGAAAAAAAAGTTAGATAAAATGTAGATTTATAAAAGTCAGATGAAAAGGATTGGATTATTTAAAAAATATTTTATCATCTACAGTCCTATATACTTCTAGGGTGGGCCACAAATTTCATGATGAAGTTTGCTAATTCTATTTACTAATTCAAAAATATAACATAGTCATTTACATTAGCAGTGCCTGTAAGATAAAGACAAATCTGTTGTTCAAGAGAAACTCTTCTACTAGTACTGAGAAGAGAAAAAATTATTCCCGTCAGGCTTCAATGAGAGAAGATCTTGTAAAATATGGGACTACACCTTAGTAAAGTCTTTACAGTTTATATGATCATATTTTTCATAGGTCTATTATTTAACCTGACAGTATCTTCTCAAAGAAAAAAAAATAGAACATATTACTTGGGGTGAAAATTATGTTTTCTAGGTACATATTTCTTTGGAGAGTCTGATTTGAACTGGAGATAGATTTGAGGGTTTATACATAGGTAGATGGCTTGTACATACCTTGGGCAAATATGTAAATATTATTTCCCTACTAGCATTTCTGATGGACTTGATGGATTTTGGTTGGCATTTAAATTTATATGCCTTGTAACTTTCTTCTTTTCTGTGGCAGATAAAAATGTCTGGCCATATGCTTTAGCCAGAGATAGGCTGGGGAAAAGATACATTTTTATATGCATGCTAATCAGCCTAACAAGAAAAACGTTCCTATGTACCAGGACAAACTTCCTTTGCTGTCAGGCAGTCTAAGGGAGTATTCTAAGACAGAGCCAAAATTCCACTGAGAAAGGAATGATAGTAAAAACAACTTCAATTGTGAAAGTAGCTTTCATTTTTGAGCATTTACAATGTACAGGCACTGGGCTATAAACTTTTCACAGATTATCTTAATCCACCTTCACAATGATCCTCTGAATAGACACTATAATTATCCTCATTATTTACATGAGAAAATTGAGGCTTCTTAGTAAATGAAGCTAGAGTTTCCATCCATGACTTCTGAATCTAACCTCCATGATCTACTATCTCCCGATGTAATTGATCTTTTATTTAAAAATATGGTTGACCAATAAAAAACAAAAAATAGAGTCTCCACTGAAAAATATTTTCCACAGGTAACAATTAATTTTTATTTTGGTCATTAAAAGCAAACAGAAGTGACAATTAAATCATAACAACCAAACCAACCATCCAACCAAACTACAGCCATCTATGTAAAATGTGTAAAATCTATGTACGGATGTGTCTTGTATTAAACAATTCACTTCCTGAAAAACCAAAGTTACCTGCATGCTTGTTTATGTATATGCTTACTGTAGTTTGAAATGCATAACTAAAATGTGATTCATTGTTGGGATCATTAGCTAAAATCCAATCAAATCTGGGTAAATATTATCACTTTTATACAAATTACACCTGCAGAACCAACACCAAGGAGTGTAGCTTCTAATAGGCTCATGCAGAATGCAGATGGAGGTCTGAGAAGAATGCAAAGTTCTAACCAAGTTCAAAATCTCCAAACTGTTAGAAGACACTACCAGGTCAGGAGTTGACAATGACTCATCTGAAGTGGTTTACTAAGACTACAAGATATACCTACTAAGATTGTCAAGATGCTAAAAAATATTCAAATCTTTGTAAGTTCACATCCATAACAGATTAACTAGAATTTGGAAAATACCTCACTGTGTTTATCATGCATTAATAGTAAACAATTGACTATCCAGTTACAACTTTAATAAGTTTTAAATCAGAATTTTTTTTTTTTAGTTGAGTTCTCACTGTGTCACCCAGTCTGGAGTGTAGTGCATAATCACAGTTCATCACAGCCTTGACCTTATGGGCCCTGTGATCCTTCTGCTTCATCTTCCCAAGTAGCTAGGACTACAGGCACACACCACCTTGCCTGGCTAATTTTTTATTTATTAATTTATTGTAGAGATGAGGTCTCACCAAGTTACCAGGCTGGTCTTGAACCCTTGGGCTCAGGCAGTCCTTTAGCTTTGGCCTCCCAACATGCTGAGATTTCAGGTACATGCCACTACGCCTGACTAATTTTTAAAATTTTTGTAGAGACTAGATTTCACTATGTTGTCTAGGCTGGCCTTGAAATCCTGGACTCAAGTGATCCTCACGCCAGAGTCTCCCAAAGTTGCTGGAATTATAAGCTTGAACCACTCTGCCTTGCCTAGAAAATTTTTCAGAAAGAAACAGAAACACAATCTATATCTCCACTTGATATAAGAAATTACAAATATAGACAAAATATATCCCTAAAATGATAGACGTGCTGGTAAATATGAATCAATAAAATATTATAAATTATACTTCATTGAAATATAAAGTACATTACATGTGGAAAAAGTAGTGTACTCTATATACTACCTTCTCTTAAAGAAGCTGTTGAAACCCTGTCAAAATGTAGTAATATAATACTATCTCAGGACAATAATATAAAACATAGAATTAATGTATATAAATTGTTACTAAAATACTAAAAATTATTTAGCTCAAAGCTATCAATTTTGGGTAGGAGAAGATACTACCAACATGAATGAGTACATACAATCTATAATATCAAATACAACCGTTTCCCTGAGTTTTTGAATAGGTCATACAAGTTTTTCTCCTCTCATATGAGACATAGAAAAGTCACAAAATGTCACTTCTCCAATAAAAATAAGTGAACTTTTGAAAATATAAACTCTTGCATTCTTTACCTGATCTATGATAAAATGTTAAACATTTTTAAAAGAAAAATTATTTTTTATTTAGGAGTTGATGAAACAAACAATTGTGTTTTTAAATCTATAAGCAAAATTGTCAACCCATGTTTAACTTCTTGTCAAACTAATAATCGTTGGTCACATGACTTTAGTCAAATCAAATCTTCTCTTTCCATGCTATGAAAACGATTGGCTTCGTCATACAAAATAAAGCTTGTTTTCACCGAATGTAAAAATTAATGTATAAGGTTGAATAATTAGAGCAATGTGCCCAGTAAAACAAAGCAGAGACTACTGTGTCCATGGGAACATCAAATACCAGAAAAATATTTATATCACACAATGTTAATTCCCCATAGTTAATATTCTGCATATAGGTGCTTGAATCACACATTGAATCCAAAATATTAACAATAGCAAAACGCTGAAACTTGTCAAGTTCTTATTATGTACCAGGAAGTGGTCTAAAGCATTTTACATATATTTCATTTAATTGTTTAAACACTGACTCTTAGTACCCATTTATACAGAGAGTAAAAATAGATGCATTGACAGATTAAGTAATTTACCCAACACAACAGTTTATAAAGGACAGAGCCAGAATTGCTAATCTAGGCAGTTCTATTCCAGAACCTAGATTCTAAACTGCTACCTCAAAAGAAATAATAATCAAAGAAGGAGAAGTTTCAGAAAAGATTTTGAAATAATTTTGTTAAAATTACTTCTTTGGGTTTCTGAATGTTAAAGTCAAAATTCATTCCCAATAGTTTTCCCGTTTGTTCATTTTTATTCCAGAGTTGCTCAAAGAATGCTTTACACATAGCAGATGCTTAATAAATAAATTATAGAATTAATAAATGCATGAATCAGGTTGTCAATCAAAAATGTGCTTTCCACACTGAGGTTAATAAATGTGAGGATATGCAACGAAGAAATATGCTTTTATGTTCAATTTATTGATAAATTAAGAAATATAGAGTAACATACAAAACAATCTTTGGTAGAGCACATCAAAATTTTGTCACACGCATTTTATTTATTTCATATAAGCTAATATTTTTTAAATGGAACCAGAGAAAATATGATGTTATATGTTTTTTAATTATACTTTAATTTATTAATTTAATTTACTATAAAGCATTCTTAATAAAATAATAGCTATAATATTAACCATTATCAAACACCTTTTTAAAGGAATGTTAATGAATACAGTGGACACTATAGTGAAGACAATTTCTTTCATGTTGAGTAGAGTCGAACAACACTTTAGAGTCGAATAGGGATTTCATATGTGCCAGTTTATGTGCTATGGGATTTATACGCATAGTTCATTTGTGCTCAGTACCACTGTTGGCATAATTATTACTTTGACTAAGTGAGGAAACTTCAGCAAAGAGAAGGATAAGTGACTTCCTTAGCGTAACCCAGCTGGTAACTGAGGAGTGGGGCTAGATGCTAGAATCAGGTAGCATAGTCCTGTGTAAACACTGAGTTTTCACACATAGATCAGACACCCTGAGTTAGGGGTAGCAAGAAATGTTTTTCATATGTTCTTTCATTTAATCCTAAAAAATCTATAAAGCTTGCACTAGTGCCTTATCTCTATTATTAAGGAAAGCAACAGATTCAGGTGTGCCTGCATATATAGATACACTTTTAGACCACATGAAGTTACTCTTTATATTGCTCCATAATTGTCAAATATGGGAAATCTAGTGCATTTAATGTACTGTGACTGTGACTAATATAAATGTGGATAAAAGTTATAAATATATAGAAATATAGAGATATGAAAAAAAAACAACAAAATCTTAACCATCTCTGAATAGTGATAACACGGTGTTAACATTTTCTTCATTGTGTATAATTATGTATTATTTTTATTTATTTAAAAAGCTAATGTTTGTGCTTTTTTATTTTTTTGAAACTATAAGATATGTTGCTCTAGATCATTTCAAAAGGATAATTAGCTTGTTTAGAGAAATATGTCCATTTGGAAATAAGTATCAACAGCTCAGTATGTTCCCAAAATACCATTTGACACAATTTTTTTCTTCAGGAAATAATTAATCACAAGATTGTTCATCAAAACATCGACTATGTTACTGACAGCAGAAGCAAAATAAATGTCAGAATTTTGTTCATTATATCTGGTAGATCATACATAGACAACAATGTAGTTATGAAATTATTTTGTAGAAAAATATTGAATAAATGAAAAAATATTTATGATGTAGCATTACATCTAAAAGTATCTTTCAGATTGTATATAAAATATAAAGTTTTTTAATAATACTGAGATAGTAGAAGCAGAACCAAATTTGAGACACATACAAAATGTTAACCTTTAACCTGGGATAGTGAGGTTCAAGGTAAATTATTTTTCCTTATTATTCATATTTTCTAAATTTTTGCTGTGAATATGTATTTTATAATTGGTAAGAAGTCATAGGAACAATTTATTTTTAAGGTGAAAAAATTTTATTTGCTCAATTTCCTTCTGCAGCAACTGTGAATTAGGCCTATATAAACTGAAAATGACAATTTTCTGGTAACTTAAGTGAAAGGAAGAAGAAAATAAACCAACACTTTATTCATATTATGGATGACACCACTATTTTACTGCATATTGTTTTTGTCATCATCATAGCTAGTATATTAAGCATTAGCTCATTGTATTCTAAAAACCGTCCGTCCTGTGGAACAGAATGCAATGCCTTTCATAATATATAGATTTTTCTCTAATAGGAAAAGACAAATTCAATGCCCAAGAACATTCGTATAAGCAGTAATTCAGAAACTATGTTGTAATTCTGGAATAAATTTTAATGTAAAGTGGGAAAGGAAGAATATATGTTTCACAGCAATATACTTAGTGTGGTTCACACATAGTATATTTAAACTAAATACTTGATTGAGCTTAGCATTCAAAATGTTGGAATGGAATGAACAGAAAGGAATGACACGGGATGAGTGGAGCATACATTTAAGGGTCAGGTCATGACTTGGTTTATTTTTACTTGAATATACAGCTCAACTTCTGAAGTGGGAAATGAAGAATTGCACAGTTGGTTCAACTAGACCAAATGGTATATCTCAAAGTATCACGGGAAAAGGAAATGACAGTGAAGATGAAATGAGATTTCAAGAAGTTGTTATGGAACATATGAGCAACTTGGAGAAGAGAATCCAATATATTTCAGATACAGAAGCCAGTCTTATAGATTCAGAGCATTTCCAAAATTTCAGTGTGACAATTGATCAAAGATTTAATGATGTTCTTCTCCAGCTAAATACCTTGGTTTCCTCAGTCGAGGGACATGGGAATGCAATAGATGAAATCTCCAAGTCCTTGATAAATCTGAATACCACACTGCTTGATTTGCAGCTCAATATAGAAATGCTGAATGGCAAAATCCAAGAGAACACAGTTAAACAACAAGAGGTAAGAGTTTTATAATTGGAAGATCACATGTTGGAATTGAAGCCATCCAGACCCTGTCTCCTCAGGTAGTCCAGGAAAGCAAAAATTGGAAACCTTGTTTCAACATCATTCTGTTTACCCGGATTTCTCTTACAAAAAGGTTTCAACTGGATTTACCTAGTGCTTTCTCTAGACTTTCAGAAAAAAATGGGAGAATTTTTTTCCTCATTAAATATAAACTCTCTCAAGGTATTTTAATTTCATAGATACTTTTTAAATGTCTTGTTACACTGTCTAAGTCCATTATAATTTTTAGATTATCTTAGCAGATGTGGGAAGGTAAACACTGTATACTTGTGAGTTTTAAAACAGACCATTTTTCATAATTATTTACTTGAATGCCCTACAAAAATCTAAATTTTAAAATAATTTATTTTGCCACTCCCAAGAGGTATGCATGAGATGCAATCCTGTAAGTAAAGAATTACATTTTGAATAACATATACATGATGTTATCATGGGATTGTCATAGGATAATAATGTGTATTTATTATCATCATAAGATTGCATATTAAGTTTTCTATGTCTATGCAACCTATGATATTTATTAAACATTGAGAAAGAGCAATGAGAAAAGCATTATCACAATCAAGTTGTAGAATAATCAGATATCCCATTATATTACTATCTAGAAAGTAAAGACTACCATATACCATTTGTAGGCAAAGTTTCCTGTAAAGGGCCAGATGGAAACATTTTAGACTTCGAGGGTTATACGGTCTCTGCTGTGATTACTCAATGCTGCCACTGTAGCACAAAAAGGCATAGAAAATACGTAGACACATGAGCAAAACTGGGATGCAATAAATATTTATCTATAAAAATAGACTATGAATTGAATTGGGCCCATGAGCTATAATTTTCTGATCTCTGCTCTAGTCTATATAGCCAACCCTGGTTAATATCTGGATTACTTTATATGAATGAGAAAGAAATTTAAAAAGCAAATCACATCTTTAAAAACTATATTATTTTGAAAAGTAATTTTCAAAATGTAGCCATTTTTAAAAGTGGATGTTATATTTATTTATTTATTTTATTTTATTTATTTTTTATAATTAATCAGTATTTTTTATTATGGTTTTGTGGGGTACAGTTAAGGGTTAGGTGTACAATTACGTTTCATTCAGGCACCCTGTTGATAAGAGGTGTTTTCCCAGCCCCAGACAGAGTAGATGTTATATAGAGAGCAAAAATAAATTTCTAAAATCATATAATCAGATGAAAACCAACTAAATAACTGACTAGAGAATAGACTAAACAGATTAAGAAAGAATATCCTACATATTTATTATTTGCAAGTTTCAATCATACAAAACTTTCTAATGTTTATATGGTCCTCATCTTAAGGTATCAGAAGACAGTGGCATTACAGTTTCAATATGAAAACTCTGTCAATTAACCTCATCCCAACACCAACCTTGTTACTCTGTTTCGATTCCATGTTACTTTTTCCAAAATGTGACTGTCAATGTTCCCCACATTGTTTATAAGTATGTAAGCATATCAGACAGTATTGGGATAGCAAGTGCTTGAACTATGGGAGGGTTAGAGAAAGTGAACAAAGAAGAAACTGTCCATAGGCATGAAGAATATGAGTGACGGAGGAAGCTAAAATGTCAGTTACAGGAGCAGTCATTAGAAGGAGAAGCAATACTACTTTATGTAGAAGGAGGGTCAGAGGAGCAGTAAGGAAAGGTACAGAGGGAGAAGGATATGATAAAAGAACAAGGATACATTTGATACTGGCAATGTGCCAAATCCAGCAGAGAAAATGGAATGGTTTTGAGCCCATGTAAGTGAGGAATTGAAACCAAACTGGAAACCATTTGGAAGGCAGTAGAAATTTTCAAACTGTTTGAAATGATAATCAATGGAAATAATAAAACCCTGGTGATTAGTGAGCTGTTTGAATTTGGGTAGATTGCACTTACATTTTGGAGAGAATTCTAGCATTTGAAAAGGAGATACTAGGGAATGGTGGAACTTTCAAAGCTATGTATATATTTTTAAGATAGCAGCCACTCATAGCAATTTAGAAATTTAGTTCAGTGCCAGAGTATGTATGTTTGTGCATGTGTGCACTCAAGTGTGCACTGAAAAACAACATTGGGATTCTCAGCCCCAGTCCTTGACAATTTTACTGATCTTTGAATCTTTATCCCAATGCAGGAATAAATAAAGTAAATGAATGCCTGAATTTGTAAATGGTGTTTGAAGAAATGGCTCATAAATAATACCGGCATAATACTTATCAAGGACACACCTAACATTAATTTGAAAGAAAAAGGAAGAACATCAGCACTAAGTGAAAGATAGGGGTAGAATTTATTGTCTCCATTGCTCATAGGAAGGACTGTATAAATACAAAATTAAATGCCTCCAAGAGGACCACAGATGGTGTGGGGATGGTATGCATGGATGCTTACCAAAGTTGTATGTAGAAAGGTACCAATAAGAAATAAGTCATGAAGAATTCACATAATACAATTCACTTAAATTATGAAAATAAGTCAGTCTCTGTGTATTTTAATAGGTAAATATCCTTAGTGTATTACTGAGTAAAAAAAAAAAGACATCTCCCAGAACACAGTATGATCTTCTTTCTTGTTCACACTGTCTATATATGCATATGCATGCATGTATATAAATTCACACAAAATATATATGCATTTGAAAACACAAAATACTAATGAAGTCTGAAACATAGTGGTGATAAAAATTGAAAGTAGGGTAATGTTAATATGCTTGTTTGAGGTTTTACTGAATATGAAAATTTATACTTAATGTGCATAACCACTGAGAATTATGACATTAAACTTTGGTTATTGCTAAAAAGCAATTTCACATATAAAAATCTATCAAATGCACAAAACTGAAATATATAGCCACTCTAAGTACAGTATAAAAATTTTCACTTCAGATAAATTAAAAATAATATGCTACTTTTAAATTTTATTTATTTTTAGCATTTAGACAGCTATATATTTGGGAAAAGAAGCATATTTTAGATATATTCAACTGAATTTTGGTGGGGAGAGTGTCAACATTAGCCATTCAGTCAAGAGAGGAAATATTTCACTATCAAAGAATTATTATTTTTAAAGTTTTCTATTTTCCATATTCTTATTCCATAAAATTCCTCTAATAAATGTTTTCTAAAAACCTGAAGTTTCAGGGCTTCTTGAATGTACATTTTTAATAATTAGGTATGTAACTAAAGTTGTGGATGTTTGCTTATGTTTTATAGGAAATCAGTAAACTAGAGGAGCGTGTGTACAATGCATCAGCAGAAATTAAGTCTATCAAAGAAGAACAAGTGCACTTGGAACAGAAAATAAAAGGAGAAGTGAAAGTGTTGAATAACATCACTAACGATCTCAAACTGAAAGACTGGGAACATTCTCAGACATTGAGAAATATCACTTTAATTCAAGGTAAAATGTCTTTTCATTCCTCCAGAAAAATGATATATATTAAAATGTACCGACATAAGCAGAGATTTGATATTTAAAATTCTATGGTTTAAAATAAACACTTTTTGAACATTTACTACAGATACCCAAAGGAAGGAATCTTAAAATCAAATCAACACTGGGTAAGATAACCAGTCGCCTAGTATCTTTTAAATTGAAAGGGACAAACAAATGACCTATCTCTTAGGTCAATAGAGATAATGAATTTATCACTATTAAAATGTCATATGTATTGAAGATGAATAAACAAAGTTCTCTACATATTCACAAATCAAACTTGTTAATACTGTTTTTCAAAACTTCTAGTCTTTCTTACTTCTTACCTGATTGTATAATTAATCATAAAATTCTTTTGCATTATCCAGAATAATGATAGACTTGTCAATTTCTTCTTCAGTTCCTGTTAGTAAAACAAGGTGAATTGACTTTTACCAATTTTGTAATTAATATGTCTTCCATATGTATTTTTATGCTAGCTATTAGTTATTTTTAACATTGTATTTGTTCTATATTTTGCTTTCAACCTTTTGTCTTTTAGTATCCTTTGCTGTAGGTTTGTCTCCTTTAATTAACAGTTACTTTTAAAAAATATAATCTGACAATCTCTTTCACTGTATTTATTTCTACCATATTACTCTTTTTATGCATTGTTTATCTCCTAATTTGTTTTATCCTTCTTTTGCTTTCCTTTCATGCCACTTTTGAATTGATGGAGAATTTTCTCTTGTTGAATTTTTTTTTTCCTCCACCAAAGCTACCAAACAGATTTTGAAAACTGTATATTTCTGCTTGATTGTCACCCTTAAGATTTATCTTAAACTTTAAAGTTAATCAGAATCTTTACCTTCATCCAGAAATATACAAATAACCTAAAGTGCTTTCTCTATTTTTCGTACTTTATGTAGACAATATTTATTTAGATTTACCTGCAAAATTACTAATTGTTCTTTCTTCTAAGTGCAACTTGGCTATTTCTTCTGGGATCATGCTCCTTCTGCCTCAAGTATATCAGAAATTCATTTTTGAAAATCTGTTGGTGGTGAGACCTTTTGGTTTCATTTTTGCTATTTTGTTTTGATCTTGAAAATTGAATTTTCTACATACATATTTTCTACATACATGATTTTCTACATACATATTTCTTGGGTTCACAGTTATTTTGATTATTCCTATCAGTATTTTGAAGATATTTCTCCCCTGGCTTCAGGTTTTCCTTGTGGCTCTTAAAAATGACTGCTACCAATCTGCTTGTCATTCTCTTTGTTTTTAGTATCTGCAGTTTTACTAATCTCTGTTTTTGTGTCAAGAATGTATCCAGCCGGGTGCTGTGACTCAAGTCAATAAACCCAGCACTTTGGGAGGGCAAGGCGAGAGGATTGCCTGAGCCTGCAGGTTCAAAACCAGCCTGGGCAACACGGTGAGACCTCGTCTCTACAATAAATTAAAAAAAAAAAAATTAGCCAGGCATGGTAGCACACATCTGTAGTTCTGGTTACTTGGAAAACTGAGGAGGAAGGATCGCCAGAGCTCAGCAGGTCGACGCTGGAGTGGCCATGAGCGTGCCACTGCACTCTAGCCTAGGTGACAGAGTGAGACTCCAACTCAAAAAAAAAAAAAAAAATGTATCCACTTGACATTTGTTGTACTTTCTGTATTTGTGGATTTAAGTCTATCACCAACTCAGCTCAGGAACATAATCAGCTTGACTCTCTTATACTATTGCTTCTTCACAATTCTCTCAATCCTTTCATCTGTAAATAAATTAAATTCATTTTGGATCTTCTCATTCCAGCTTCCATGTCTGTAAAGCTCTATTTCACAATTTTAATCTTGACCTCATTAGCAGTTAGCAAAACAGAACCTATAACTACATAAGATTTCATTTTACATTCACTAGTTTAGAAAAATTAGTAAGTCAGTAATAATAATTCAATTGTTTGACAAGAAAAAATTAAAAACAAGTCTTAGAAGACTATATATAGTACAATTTTTGTTTCTTATGTTCATAATTTAGCAAAAATAAATAATGCGTATTTACGGACACATATATAATAAGAATGGTTGTTTTTAAAATGCAAAAAAAGGCTGAGGTGAGTGGATTGCCTGAGCCCGCAGGTTCGAGACCTGCCTGGGCAGCGAGACCTCATCTCTACAATAGATCAAAAAATCAGCCAGGCGTGGTAGCGCATGCCTGTAATTCCGGCTACTCGGAAGGCTGAGGTGGAAGGATTGCCAGAGCCCAGCAGGCGAGGCTGCGGTGGCCGGGAGCGGCCACTGCGCTACAGTCTGGGCGACAGAGTGAGACTCCAACTCAAAAAAAAAAATAAAAAATAAAAATAAAATAAAATAAAATGCAAGAAAATAACAGACATAAAATTAATGTTTATCTGAAAAGAAAGTAGAAGATAAGATGAGGACGCACTTAGGTAGATTCTTGTTTCTTGGGTTGTGATATTACAGGAGCATTCTCTTTATTATTGTACTTTATTATTTATTTATTTATGAATCAAAGTCTCACTGTGCTGCCCAGGCTGGAGTGTAATGGCAGGATCACGGCTTACCACAGTCTTGACCACCTGGACTCAGGTGATCCTCCCATGTGCCACTTTGCCTGGCTAATTTTTGATATTTTGTAGAGATGAGGTCTTGCTATGTTGCCTAGGTTGGTATCCTACTCCTGGGCTCAAGTGTTCCTCCTGCCTCAGCCTCCCAAAGTGCTAGAATTGCAGAGGTGATCCACCATGTTCAACCTCTTTATTATTGTACTTATAGTTTACTTACATAGACTGCATATTACATATAGTATTTATTACATTAGTAAAATTGATAAAGAAAAATTTGACTTCATTAGCTTTCTAACAACTAGATACTTCTACTTTGTGTTTCAAATATTCGAAACTTTTCAAATCCTCTACTGTTTAGTAGCCACGCCCATCCATCTCCCCAAATCTGTTGCTATCCCATACTTTGTGTGAGTTGTGCCATTGTCCAACTAGTTGCTCACTCCAAGATCTTAGAAGCTATCTTTGACTTCTCTCTTGCTCTCAACCTCTAGGTAACCCATCTGTGATTCCTATTAACTCTTCTTGCATACAATATCTCAAATAAAAGTCTTCTCACTATCTCTTACACTACCCCATTTCAAGCAACCATATTCCAGTTTGATGTATTACATTAGTTTCCCAACTGGTCTCCCGCTTTCACTCTCCACCCATTCTTCACAGAACTAAGAAATGCTGTTTAAAACACACACACACACACACACACACACACACACACACACACACACACACACACACATCATTAGATATGTGTTGTTTCTCTCTCCACATCAGATATGTCTTTTCTCTCATGTTCAAGACCCTCCAATATATTTCCATTGGACTTGGAATAACATCTAAACTTCTGTTTGATCTTCCATTCATCTACTTTTCTGTCTTCCCGTATGTTCTAATCTCTCCTCTGGCATCCCTTCTCCTAGGTTGGAAGTGGAAGAATGACAGTGAAAGTTCATAAAGAGGAAGTGCTAGTTTCACTTCTTGCTGTCCATAATGAGCACTAGATTCCTTCTCTTCCTCTTCAAATATTCTTTATGTTTGACTCCACTCAAACATAAAGAATATTTTTAGAGATGATTTCCTATCTACTTTTTCCATGTTCATTATCATTCTCCAACTTGCTATACCATGATTTGCTTTCAATTTATCATAGTATTTACTGCTATATGAAATTAGGTCATATACACATTTGCTTAACTGTCATATATCTTCTTTTATATAAAGTAGCTCTGTGGGTTTGAATCTTTCCTCCTTTTCTACCTCTGCATTCTTAATGCCAGTTAGAGACCCTAGAATATGATGGGTGAACAATTATATATGTGTTGAATAGTAAGTGAAAAGAGTGGTTCCTTCTTAAAAAGTAACATTTTGTAATGCAGTGTCATTTGTCCAGTTTCCCAAGCTAGAAATTTTAATTATTGTTATTATCTCTCCTAAGACCACCATTAGCTTTTATGTTCTGTATCCTTTATTCCCTTGTCATTTCTTTATATCCTTTATGAATTATTTTTATCATTACTTTGCCAGACTATTGCAGTTGTTCTCTGCCTCGAGTTTCCAGACTTTAATCCTTTCTGCACTTCTGTTAGAATGCAGCTTTCAAAAGGGAAGCCCTAGATTATAAAAAAGCCTCTCTGTTCCTTCCTCATTAGACATTCATTTAGTGCTGTAGTGCCCAAGGTCTTCTTTTCTTCTATAGTGTATCCCTTAACTACTTTTTATTGTTGAATTTCTTCCTCTGCCTTTTTTGTATGCCAAATATCTCAATCAATTTGACTATGTAGCTAACATACCCAATATTTTCTACATTCTGCCTCATGCCTTTTTCTTTGCTTGAAATCATATGTTTTCTCTTTTATTTGTATCTGAAAAATACCTTCTCTCTCATTCAGTGTCCATCTCAGATGTGATACCTTGCATGACCACCTTTCTGATTCTACCAATGGCAATATTCAGATGACACATATCATCTTAAATAATGCACATTATGAATTCTCTCACAAGAGAAATTTTAATATGATCCTCATATTGAAAAGTATCCCATACTCTCTTCTAGCACAGTGTTAACTTTTCTTGGGCACAGATTCCTTGTAATTAGGGACAAGTCTTTATATCCCCTGTAGCATCTATTCATAAATATAACATTTTAAATAAATGTTTATTAAATGATAACTGAAGGCATATTTTATAAACAAATGAGTGCTTTATCCTTTGCTATGTGTTGATTTGTGGAATTGGTCATTCCTTTGTGTTCTCTCTCCTCTTCTATTAACAATTGCCAAATTATGAAGATTAAAGAGACAAAGGTTTTTACTACATTTCTCAAGTCTCCTAGTTCTAATTTTATCCAACATTTAGCTTTAAGACCTTGGGCAAGTCACGCTCTGACTCTGTATAAATATTTTTAATTAAACAATCTTTAAGGCTTATTCCAGATTAAACATATATAAATCAGTGAGCACTAAAACTGGAAAGAAAAAAACGGAGGCAGGTTTATGTAAAAATAGGCTAAAAGATTTGGCAGACTTTTATAGTAATCTGAATATGAGACAAATTTGAAAACAAAGTAGAAATGTAATGATCATAATAAATAGGAAAATAGAGAAGCATAGCTCTGGAAATTTAGGCAGAAATTATTAGTACTATCTTATCATCTGAGGATTTTAAATGACATAATATGCCTGAGTTTGCTTTTCTAGTAAACTGGGTAATTTTTATTTATGATATTAATGATTACCAAATATTCTAAATCAATAGATTTCTTGGGGCTATGTGAAAATCTTAGTTTTCCTTTAAAAAAGTAATTATAGGGGAAGTTAAATAGTAGATTTTACATATATGTTTTATAAGGTGATTGTTCATGGAAGATTATTGCTATGGTATTTATGGATTATTCCTATAACTTTATAATTAGATGATACTAAAGATAAAGAAAAATAATGTGGATTCTTAGGCTGTCTTGAATTAGAGGAAATTATACCCTTTGGCCAATTTTATTCCAGTTCCCTTTGATATATGTCAGCAAGGAAGCCGAGAGGTAGCATTATGCCCAATTATTGATGCACAGAGGCAGTTACTGAAGTCATTATAGAACAGAATTTTAAAGAGGCTAAGTAGTAACTAAGTACAAAGAAGGTGACTACAATAGACTCTATGTTTTCTGATTTAAAGTTCTTCTTTCTTTTTTCTATAACATGGTAAAATATATTACTACATTTAAATTTGATAGAGACATTATAAAATGGATTTTTATTTTTTTAAGAGTCAACAAAATACATTTAGATCTGATTAAAAACTCTAACAATGGTCCAGCTGCAGGATGATGAGGACATGTGGTATAATGGGGTGGAGAGGAGACCAATTTTGGAAGGTAGCAGGGCAGCATTACGTTGATAATATTCTCAAACATTCTACACCAGAAGCTAAGAGTAAAGTCATATATAATTTTATTCCATTTCCCAAAAGTATCTAAACAACACTTAAATCATGTATTAAGATCCACCCCACATTTTGTTGGAGGCAGTAAAAGAGATATAACAATATATAAAAATGAAACATAATAGGTGAGATTAATGTTACATGAAGAATAGAATACTGATAAAAATGTAACATTCAACACATCTACTTAGAACTATTTAAGGAAAGACTTTACCTGATTTCATACTCTAGAATTCAAATACCAGTTATCAATATTTTTATTAAAAATGCACTGATAGGGATCTTTAACTCTGAATTTTATAAAATAACACTGAGGTATTTGTTGTGGCTGAACTAATACTCCAAAATGAGAGTGGTATACAGTTCCCATGGTTGCATGCAATATAATTAGGAGAGTTCCTTCCCTCTCTTACTTATCAAACAAATGGCGAGAAATCCATCTTAGAGGCAAAGATCCTGGATTTAAGCTGTGTGTCCCTCGTTTCTTGTTTCACATTCTAGTTTTTCCTGGAAAAGTATGCATCTTACTTTAGATCCTTAGTCACTAAACTAGTCTTTGTGTAATTTTTTTCAAAACACAACTCGAGTTCTATGAGTTTGCTTTCCTTCAATTAGTTCAACAAAATTCAGGCTGAAGACTGAATCTGTCTGTCCTGTTTCCTCTTCATAAGTCGCCTGCAACTGTGCTGAGGGTTTTGGAAGTTAAACATCCTTTCTTGGGAAGAACTACATTCTTCTACATAGAATAAGAGACACACAAAGGTTTTCATTGATACAGAAACATGAAATGTAGTGTGTGTCACCTAAGTATATTTATATGTCTCCCAACAATTAAGCAATAGCTTTGGATACACTAGTTAATTGCTTATGTCCAGTAGTATGCAGTTTGCATGATTATTATATGAAAACACACACAGAGGAAAGAAATGTTAATGTCATTTAAAATTACACAATTATGAGTTATATTTATCCTCATACTTTTTCCACACTTTTCTATTTCCTATAATAAGTAGAGTTGTATACTTATTATAGGTATAATAACAAAAGTATAATTAAATGTCTCATGCTACATATGAAGAGAATGTTTTCCCCACAACCTCTCCATAGATATTATAATATCTATATCAATCTAAAAATGCAACTCAATCTTTTATTTCAAAGAGGACTCTTCTACTCATTTGCACCTTCCTGCCTTTCCTCCAAACTCTTACTTCCTCTGAATTCTTTTCCTTTTTTTTCTTCCCATTCCTAAAAGAATTCCTTGAATTCTGCTTTCTCAATAAATAATTTTTCATCCATCACCACTTATGCTGATCTCCATCTCAGTGACAAATATCTGGGTGTGAATTTTTGTTTCCTTTGAGGGTATCAAAATGTCTTACAAATCCTTATTTAAACATTTTCTGCTCAGTGACTAACAATATAGTATCTAACTCAATATCAAACTGCCTAGTATGTGCACAATACTTATGTGGTTTTGGACTGGCATGTTGCCTTTTCTCTGCTCCCAGCTTCTTAGAACCTAGAAAAGTGATAAATACACTTAAATACATATCTAATACATAATCAAGTTGTTTACTTTTAGATTATGTCATCCTTTTCAGTATAGGGTATTGCACTACTGGATAGCAGAATATGCCTCCATTCAGAAAGATCGGTTTTAGTCATTCTTTGTTACTGCACAACAAATGAAAGCTTTGGATTTCCTTATATAACTGACTTGACTGATAACAAATCCATTTTACCTGTGCTTTACAACTACAATCTTTAATTGTTTTAAAGGTCCTCCTGGACCCCCAGGGGAAAAAGGAGATCGGGGTCCCACTGGAGAAAGTGGTCCACCAGGCTTTCCAGGTCCTATAGGTATGGTCATCATAACTATTTAATAATATACTTTGAAGCAAGGTAATATACATCCATGTATGTGTGTAAATTAGAATTATTATTTTATTTGTCTCCTGTGGGCTGTGAGTGAGTGTGTGTGTGTGTGTGTGTGTGTGTGTGTGTGTGTGTGTTGGGAGAATATTGAGTGTTCCAGTAGTCTAATCACATAATATACTGAATGGTAAGCATTGCTTATAGTTTCTGAAGAAAAGTAAATACTTTAACCAGAGTCACCATATGGAGTTGATCATACATTTAGGGCATGCCATCTGTATCATATACTACAAACAGAATACAGGTGTTTTTCAGTGGGCAGATATATGCAAATCTATCCCCAAAGTCCTAGCTGAAAGGCTGAATAAAGAGACTAATATATCTAGTTTCTTAGGAAGAAACAGTTAACAGAGACTTATTAACAGAAGTCATGTCTATGTCTTGGACAGCAGCAAGACAAGATGGTGGCTTGCCATTGCTACCCCCAAACCCAGGGATTATATAACACAAGGAGCAGGTGATTCTGAAGGGAGGTGAAAGACTATTGAAATATGATGACATTAAGGTTGTTTGATCTAAGGGTGAGATTTACAGTAAATACCTGCTCCTACACAAAGAACTATAGATACACTGGAAATCTTAGAGGAATTCCCAGATCTAGGGTTAATCAGAAGTCAACATGGTGGATTAGCATCCAAGATGGAGTTGCTTTGGCCTCCACGGTGGAAGACCTAACTTTAGATAACATGGGAAGGAGAATATAAAAAGCATCTTCACATTGAAAAAATCATCTTGGCATTTACAAGTTATCTGGTTTTTAAGACATTAAGAATTCATATTAGTGAGTTATAAATCAAAGATAAATTGGATTATATTTATTATATGGTCCTCAGTTGGAATATATCTGTTTAAACTAATAAAATCTGAATGTAAATATTGGTTAAAAGGTAGATGGTTATTTCCTTTGCTGTCAGCCTCTCTCTGTGTTTTTCACTTCAAGAAAAATTGTTTCAAATGATTTCCCTTTGTTATAATTGTGAAAGCAATATTTTGAAGGAAGTTAACAGAAGACACAGATCATGCATGAACATTTTTTGTTATTTAAAAAGTAAAAACGACAATAACACGATTGTCATGTTATAGCTTTATCTAGAAAACAAATACCCTACACACTGTTTGAATGTAAAAAAAAATATACTACATGGACTAGTTTTACATGTCTAAATATCATGTACGGCATCTTATTTTTCTGTCTTAATTATATAAAATATTCTTTTACCTGATCAATGTATTGACTAGCCCCAGTTACATCAGAAAAGTGATTATTAAAAATAAAAAGCATGATTTTGATACCTGCCTGATTTCTACATCTTTATGTTTAAAATGTATTATACAGAGCTGGGCGTGGTGACTCATGCCTATAATCCCAGCACTTTGGAAGGCTGAGGTGAGAGGATCGCCTGAGCCCATGGGAATGAGATCAGCCTAGGCAAAATGGTGAGACCTCATCTCTACAATAAATCAAAATATTAGCTGGGTGTGGTAGCACATGCCTGTAGTTCCGGCTATTTGGAAGGGTGAGGCGGAAAGATCACCTGAGCCCAGCAGGTCAAGGCTGCAGTGGCCGGGAATGTGACACTGCACTCCAGCCTGGGCAACAGAGTGAGACTCCAACTCAAATAAATAAATAAATAAATAAATAAATAAATAAATAAAGCATTATACATTGGACATGATGGCTCACGCCTGTAATCCTAGCCCTTTGGGAAGCTGAGGAGAAAAGATTGCCTGAGCCCAGTAGTTCTAGACCAGCCTGGGCAACATGGCAAGACCTCATCTCTATAATAAATCAAAAAATTAGCTGGGAGTGATGGTGTGTGCTGACCGACATGGAAGAATCGCCTGGGTCCAGCAGGTCAAAGCTGTGGTAGCCATGATCGTGCCACTGAACTCCAGCCTGGGAGACAGAGATCCCAACTCAAATGATAATAATAATAAATAAAATGATTACTTAGTTAATAAAAAGCAATATATAAAGTTTACATTAAAATACACACACACTAGGTGGATAGGTGTTGATGTGCCTTTGAAAGCACTGTTAGGAAATAATTTTTATTCAGAAAAGTCTTCCTGCTTGTTCTACTTGACTGGTGCTAAGCAGATATTAGCAATGGTGCATTAATGTCATAAGCAGGGGAAATAACCAGCATTAAATCAACTGCCAGAACGACTATTGTCAGGGGTCTGTCAGCTCCTCCACTACAAACTGCAATTGTCAAAGCTTTATAACTCAACCATAAAAGTTCAGTCTGAGCTACAACTTGCCATACAGAGCTTCATCTTGGGAGCATCTTTTGCAGCTGTTTCTGAACTGTGAACATATGAAATAGAGGATTTAAAAGTTTCAGCTTTTGTTAATGCCATCAACAGATATGCTTGCAAAGTTTCTTTGATTTCTTTTTTCTTCTTCTTTAAGTTTTAATATTTATTGTAAACTGACAATTTATAATTTACATGTATAGAGTGCAAAGTGATGTTATAGTGTGTTACCCTGTACTGTTTTTTCCACAAATAGACATCATCTGATCTGTAAAAAAACTGGGGTGATCAACTGACTCTTTTAGGTTATCAGGTTACCATTCTGTTTGGTGCACTGCAGTAAAAGTATTCAAACAACCAGTCCTCTATCTCTACTAATGGATTCTTCCCTACCTTTGTTGCTGTATTCCATTTAGTTCTCTGCAGCATTGCCTTATAGTTGATGCTGTAACCGGAAAGTAAAGAGTAGATGATGGACAATCACAATAATTCTGCTTTCTGATTTGAGCAAGTTCAATTCCCAATTCCATACAGCCATCTGAGCGCACTAAACTCAGCTTACCATAGTTAAACTCACCTAGACTCACAATCATGATATGAATATCAGAAAAACTTAAGCATTTATCCTAGTAGCACAAATAATCAACACATTAAATATATTTTAATTGTGACTCATGTGCCAGGGTGGATATTGTGTTAAAATATGGTTTATCCAAAAATGCATAACAGAAATTCATTTTAGAGTGTTATTTCCTTGGATGCATGTCAGGGAGAATGGCCTATCACCTTTTACTCAAAAAAATATGTGCTGAGCATTTTCTCCATGCCTGGTGTTCTACAATACCGCATGGAGTGTGTATAAACAGACATAGAGTCTCTGGCTTCACGGAGTTTCCAGTAAGATAAATAATTATATAAGAGAGATGAATGTCATGATTAAGGATTCTTGGTGTCATCTGAGATCTTTTGGAGGCCAATCTTGGTGTAACTTCCCCATGACAACAATGCTTTGAAGAAGAAATAATACCTCCTTAATTCCTAAATAGGTCTTTTGTAGGCCATCGAAGGGGCTGTTTATGCCCAGTGGTATCAGTAACAAGGCAGCCTGACCTCCAGGCATGAGAGGGCTACCTACACCTACACGGGATGCCTTAAGAGAGAACTGAAGGCTCCTCTGGCTGCAAAAGTTTCATCATCAATCATTGTTATTTACTCTTCTTACATGGCCTGAATTTTCCACCATAGAAATTGTGCCTCTGGAGGAGAAAATAAAGCCCATCTTGACTGTGGATATTAGGAGAGAGGAACAATGTTTATCAATTTTTACATCCATGTATTTCTTTACCCTACTTCCCCCTTTCCCCAGTTTGTGGTCCAGGAGAGGCTCTTGCTCATGCTTCAACAAGGACAGAATCCCTAAATATATGCTTGAGTGAGTAATGTTGCTGACTGCAGGCTGTTGCTCTGTGTCATAGAACTGACAGTGAGTATCTTCTGGAGGTGACCAATTATGCCAATGAATCCAAAAAATCATTGTACATATTACTAATAAAACTAAATGTGGAAGCCTTCATAAGAGGCTCATGAAAATAATGATTGTATTTTAGGGAAAGAGGAGAAGGAGGAAGTGGAGAAGGAAAAGAAAGAAGAAGGGGACAAAGAAAAAAAAGATAATCTAACACAAAGTTTTCATTATGCACCGGCACTTTGCTAAGTGTTTTGTATTTATTAGTTCTTTTAATAATCACATCAAACTGATGATGTAGGAACAAATAATATACCCATTTCACAGACGCACAAGGAAGTTAAATGTGTTGCTCAAGGCCCATCAGCAGCTGGTAAATGGCACAGCTCGTATTTGCACCTAGATGGACATGATGGCAGAGTCTATACTCTAAACTAGTCTGCTAGATCATAGAAAGAAGCCTAAACTGAGCTGGGAATCTAGGATATGTGAATAATTATCACACCAGTCTTAAGTAAGTGATTTGATCTCTCAGGTCTATGGTCCTGCCTCTATAAAATGACAGATTTGGGCTGGCTAATGTCTCTTGGAACATTCTATGGCTGAAATTCTGCGTAATTCTAACTCGTATTGCCTGTGAATTAGAAGCAGGTGCCAGACCCTATGCCTTTGTCACAGATTATTGTAGAAAATTAGCTAATTATCACCTGAAAGACTCAGAGAATCTGGTCTCATGGAATAACATTCAACACTGGTGCCAATATTTAGGGGTCACATTCTCAAACTTTATTAAACAAATAAGTGACATAACTCTATAGGCTATATAGAGTCATTTAAACATCTCCCATAATGGAGGTCTCATGATTGTCTGATTTCTAGGAAAGTCTCCCATGTGCATCATTTATGGATTTATTGGCTCACCCATTGAAAAGTACCATAATTCGTGGTTGAATAGTTGTATTCTGAGTGTCACTCTAACGTACTCGACAAGTCATTACAGGAGAGGCCCTTTCTGATCCTCATCTAAAGCATTCTCTCTTACATTTCACAGTTTTTCTAAAGTTATAACCTCCAAAATTATCTTCTTTATTTATTTGTTAACTTTCTTACCACCTGTCTCTCCTTTCTGTTTCTCCACCCTAGGAGAGCTGTTTGTATAAGAATGTTTTTAACTCCGGGAGACTGGCACAATGTGTGTGCTTAATACATATTTGTTGAGCTGAGGAGAAAATAGAAAAAATGGAAGTTACTTGTGAGTGGCACTCCATACAAAGTTGTAGAATGTTTCAATTTTTTGTGTGAGGGAATTTAGTGTCAGTGTTTTTGTGTGTAAATTTGAGTAACAGATCTCAATAATACAAGTCAGAGATCTTACTACCTTGCTTTTATCATGAAGGAAAGCATGAACTGATTAACTTGTCCTGTGAACAGATGTTAGGTCTTTTTTGTTTTAGGCTGGATGCAATGAAATTCAGTAATATATTCTCAAAATAGTGTACCTTGAAAATTTATCATTTTATTGCTTTAAATATTTGGTTAATTTTGGCTGAAATCAAATTTTTACACTGGGTTTAATAATATTTCTTGGTTATTTATAATATTATACTTCTTAAACTGAGTACTTCTTAGAGGCTAGATAGTCCAGTTTTAGGTGTCTATATGAATGAACCTAAAAAAAGTGTTTTTAAAAATGAATTAAATATGTGTAAGCTCTGCCTCCTGAAACTTATAAACTAAAGACAGGCTTCTAAAAGGTTAATTATAATGTACCTCTCCAAGGAGTCAACTAAAAGTTATATTAATGGGATTTCTACAAATTGATAATGACTTTTAAATAAGACACAAAATATTTTTATAATAGTTTATCCAACCCACTGATCCTCAAGATAAACCATTTTGTTCCAAAGAAATATAACATTTGCTTTTATATGCAGTTCTCATGGTCACCATAAAGACATGGGTGAAAAGAATGGTCATTTTTAGTTTTCATTTAAGCATATAAAACCCTGGATTTGTATAAGAATATAATATATATTCATAAGTCAACTTGGAGAGAGAGAGAGAGAGAGAGAGAGAGAGCGAAAGAGAGAGAGAGAGAGACTGAGAGTATTTGTATATATGTCTGTGTGTGTGTGTCTGTGTGTGTGTATGTGTATGTGTCCCTGTCTGTCTGTGTATTTGGGATTACAATGAAATATGTATAAACTGGTTCATGAGAGATAAAGTAATAGATTCTAGAACTAGGACCCCAATATTTTTATAACCACTGTTTGATGCTTTTAATTGCTTGAGTTGTGTTCTTTCTAAGGAAAATTTTAAGAATTCAATTTTCAGCTTATGTATTGTAAAATTATCATTTCAGAAACAGCAAAATCCTGCTGTTTGATGATTCCTCATTGATTACATGAGACTTCTGATTAAAACTGCAAGATTTCATTTTTCTCATATGTTTTTATTTTTACTAAAAATGTCATTTATTAAATGCCTATAATATATTAAATGCACTAACATGTATACTTATTACTTATATTGTCTTTCAATGTCACACAGGGAATTTTAGGAAAGATACTATCCATTCATTTAGATTCACTTACTTCACATTAACTTATAAAACTAGATTTCAGGCAACCTTCTTTTGGGTTCCCTCTCACTGCAGAAACTTTCCTGTATTCTCAATAAATACTGCTTTCTCACACACACAAAAGAAAACTAGATTCTAGATTTCCATTATACTTTCAAATATGTATGAAAATGAATTATTATCCACTTTTTTTTTTTCCTCTGTTATCCATATAGGTCCTCCAGGTCTTAAAGGTGATCGAGGAGCAATTGGCTTTCCTGGAAGTCGAGGGTTCCCAGGATCCCTAGGGAGGCCAGGTACTATGATAATATGTGTTTTATAAAGTTTGTTTTGGATAACAAAAAATGTTCATTATAGTATGAATGCCATTATCCACATGCAGTTTATTTTGTGGTTTAAGACATTTTGAAACTGATTTCTATTCACCTGACAAAAATTTCTATGTCCCAAAGGAAAAAAGTTAAAAAAAATAATCACAGGATTTATAAACTCTACACAATCATAAATCATCATGAAGAATGCTATCTATCTTGGAACAAAGAATGAAAGGATTGGCCAAGAAAAACAAAGTGTAATACCACACCTAGCCAAATCCTGTTAAGTTACACTTAACAAAATGCACAGAAGTCTGAAATCCTTTCATATGCAAAATAAACTGCTTGTTATTATCTAGTATTGCTTAATAATTAACAGTGTTCAACACTTCAAAATTTTCACAAATGATGATATTATTACCATTGGTTATGCGACTAGGCTAAGCTTGAATCTTGAACCTTGCACAGCAATTTTAGAAGGGACTATCCTTACTGTTTCCTAATTTCAAAGTAAATTATTACCAAGAGAATAGAGTTGCTATCACTGAGGTGGTTTTTTAATAGATTTTATTTTTTAGAATAGTTTTAGATTTCTAGAAAAATTGCCCAGGTAGCATAGAGAGTTCCCATATACTAGCTACCCATACATGGTCCCTCCTATTATTAAAAACTTGCATTCATGTGATACATTTGTAACAACTAATGAATCAATGTATATGCATTATTATGAATGGAATTCCAGAGTTTACATAGGGGGTCACTCTTTGTGCTGTACATTTTATGAGTTTTGGCAAATGTGTAATGTCATGTATCCATAATTACAGTATCATATAGAATAGTTTCATTGCCCTAAAGATCCCCTGTCATCCACCTACTAGCCACCAATCCATTTCCTGCCCTTCACAAGCCCCTGGTGGCCACTGATCGTTCTATTGTCTTTATAGTTTTTCTTTTTGCAGAATATCAAATAGTTAGAATCATATAGTTAGAAACCAGATTCTTTCACTTAGTAATATGCATTAAAGATTTCTCAGTGATTTTTCATGGCCTGATTGCTCACTTATTTTTTTTAGTCATTCATATTCCATTATACGGATTTACCACAATTTGTTTATTCACTCACCTACTAAAGGATGTCTTAATTCCAAGTTTGGGATATTATGAAGAAAGCTGCTATAAACAAGCATTCATGTACAGGTTTTAGCGTGGACAAGAGTTTACCTAGCAGTGAGTACAATTACGGGATCAATGGGTAAACCTATGTTTAACTGTAAGAAAGTGCTAAGCTGTTTTCCAAAGTGACTCTATCACTTTGCATTCCCACATCAATAAATGAGGATTCCTATTATTCCATACACTTATGGGCATTTGGTACTGTCATGTTCTGTATTTTAACAATTCTAGTAGGTGTGTCACAGTATTGTTGATAATATCAGTGCTTATGAATTATGTCAATGCCAATTAGCCTTGAAGAAAAATCAGCTAGCCACAAATAAGTGACCTATTATTAATCTCCACTAGATACCTGGATTACTTGAACTGAAAAGTATATTGAGTAGTATCAGTCATCTCTAAAACCATCTAGCTTTAGTCAGGCTCTTTTGGCAATATGAAAAGAAGTGTTTGTTTTCCTATTAATTTGTTTGAAATTATCTGCACCACTCAGGATTTACTGAATTTTCTATATGAGCAATATATGTTCAATAGATAAATATATTTAAAAACCCTAAATCTGACACAACTACAAAGCTATCTATAGATTCCAAGATAATTCAAAATTCTGTGAAGTGAGAACAAGTATTTTATCTGTACTCTAAGTTGAAAATTAAAATAGTCTACAATCTATCTCATATAATAATTGTCCTTTAGTAACATTGGAAAAATCATGGTAAGATTTGTTTTGGGCTCTTTTTAGTCCAGTCTATTTTGAAACTACCTATTTACATTAAATCATAAGAATTAACTTTATATGTTTACTAAGAGTTGTATATATTTATCATCTAAAATATGTGTTGAAATATGTATATATTATAGAATGGCTAAATTGTACTAATTAACTTATGCATTACCTTACATACTTATTTTTATAGTAAGAAAATTACCTGTAAATCTGAATATCAGTATACACTATGAGATAACCAAGTTACTAATTCTCTAGAAAATCTACACAAAAATGGGAAAAATGGTAGAAATTGTAAAATGTTAAGAAAGTCTTCCTATTTCTTTCAACTGTTTGTCTATTTTGCACAACCTTTTGCTCTGGGGAAAAGAAGATAGAAATAAACCACAGTAGAGACATGTAACTACAGCACAACTTAATTCATCTAAGGACAAATAGCTAACTTCATTTACCGAGTGCCTACCTTGTTTTATTATATCATGCTTTGTGCTGGGTTACAAGACAGTCAGTTCCCCATTATTGAAGGGCTTTATCCCAGAACTTTTCTTACAGTAACATCTCTTAAATTTAATTAAAAAGATTTTGTGACATATATGCAAAGTATTTAACGTAGGTTATTCATTTGGGGTGATTAAAAATTTGTCAAAGTTGTTTGAACTTGAATCTTATGATGTCATGTAGTTATTCCATTTATATTATTTTCTTCACCCTCTGAGGAAGCATAACAGAGACAGCATGGAAAAATTTGAACCTCAGATCTGAATCCTACCTCATAGCCTTGACAAAACAGGGCTAATGCAGGATCCACATTTTAGACTTTATGTATGAATGAAATACATTAACAGACACTTTAAAGTACTTCAAATAGTTCCTGTCACAGAGAGTGCTTGATTTTGGAGGGCAGGCACCTTATAGTGCAGGCTTCCCCCACCAGGTCAGTGTTCTAGGAACCCATCAGCACCACTATAGCAGCCAGTGTTGTTGTGAGAGGCTGCATTCGACTTCAGTACAATTTTTTTGGAGATGCTTTCAACACATTTGCCCATTTCATGACGGGTGATATACAAACGCACCTGCCCATGCCACGTTGAATGTTCAGCAATTTTTGACCAAATATGGCATGATACGCATGCCCTACCCTCCCTATTCATTCAATTTTACCCCAAGTGACTTTTTTTGTTTCCCTGGATAAAAAAAAAAGTCCTCAAAGGGAAAAGTTTTACCAATGTGGAAGAGGTGAAACAAAAAATGATATAAGCACTGAAAGCCATCAAAACTGATATGTTCAAAAATTATTTTGAGCAATGGGAAAAGCATTTCAATAGGTGAATTGCATCAAATGGAGAGTACTTTGAAGATAACTGAAGTTTAAACATTTAAGAATAAATACACAATTTTTTATAAATAAATTCCATTTGTAGAGGTCCCCTCCAACACGTGAGTTATTAGCTACAGCCTGCACAAGCTCTAGATTTCTTTCTACTCTCAGACTCTTAGAGTTCAACAAATGCCCACTAGTCAAAGTGCTTGGGGGAACATTATTTGATTCATTCACCCAGGCAACATAATTTGATGAGGGTTCACTGTATGCTGAAAAAAAACATAGCATAGCCACTTCCTTCAAGGAGCAGAGGACAGGAAAATGCATAAGCAATTAGCTATAGTGCCATGGTGATATGTAATTAACATTGGTGACATTGGATAAAGGGTATGAGAGTAGAGTGTATGGAGTGATTAATTCCGTACTGCAAGAAAATGTATGACCGAGCAAGTGGTGTTAATACTTCCTAAAAGATACCTAGAATTTCTTTATGTTTGCATTTCACAAACTTCAGCAGGCATCAGAATCACCTGAAGGGCCTTTTAAAACAGCTTACGGGGCTCCACTCACAGTTTTTGATGTAATAGGTCTGGGATTGGACTCACGTCTTCACAGATTTCTGCAGATCTGAGGACCACACTTTGAGAAACACATCATGAGGTGAAAAAATAAAAGAAAAAAAAGGAGTGGAGAAAAAGAAGCCCTACAGAAAGAAGAGTAGGGGTAAAGGTGACCAATTCAAAAGATATCCTCAGGATATCACTTCCTTAATAAAAAGACTCAAATATGGTAGGTATGTGAGTAGCAGTGCCTGCTTTAGTTGAACTGCAGGTTAAAAGAAGGAATGATGCAGAATTTTTTCTCTACGAGAATCTGAGAAGGTGGTAAAATAAAAATTAATTTAACAATTGTCATATAATAGCCGATGACACAGCCTGTTGTGACATCAAAAGCATTATCAGATTCTGAAGCAAAAAGTTCAAGAAAGAACACCTCCTAATTATTTTCTCCTATTTTCTCTCCTGCTCTCCTTTTCTTTTCTATCATGCCTCCTTCCTTCTACATGCACTAAGTATACACTACTGATACAGGATACAATGATAGACCCAGGGAAATGAGAGGTGATTCAGATATACATAACTGATAAGCCATACTAACATGAGAAGACAAAGAGAAGACTTCATACTTTCTCCACGCATAACAGATTCATAAAGTAGTACATTCGTAAGATCTGACATATCTACTTTAGAAAGTTTGATAGATTTAATTCAAGTGTAACCATGCGTGTCGTCAAAAATCCCTAGAAGATTCTAGATATAACTTATTAAAAGAAGAACTTCCAGCATACAAATAATGTTCTCTGTTCACTTAGTTTCTTAAAGTCCATTCAGTCTGATGACTCCCCTCAGGGTTAGTTATGGTCATTTTTAGGAGTATCTAACACCTTAGATCATAAATTATTTATTTATTCAAAAAACATTTACTGAATATTTTCTCAGTGCCATTTATGGAGATATGTATAGATTGTTGATATCTGAGTCTGGAGTTTAATGGAGAGGTCAGGAATAGAAAGACAACGCTTAACTATGATCATATAATGTTCTTTGGCACAACTGATTTTAATATTTTATGAGTAGAGAGTGAGAAAGTACAAAGAGAAGGCCTAGAATAAAGCCTTAAGTACTTTTAGAAGTACAGGCTGAGTAATATAAGCAATGCAGGAGGATGAAAGGAAGCAGCCCGAGTGAGGAACAAAACCCAGAGAATGTGGCACGGAAGAAGTCAAAGGCAGAGGAAGTTTCAAAAGGTGGTCAAGCAAGATGAAGTCCACAAAAAGTTATTTGTAACTGTTGATGTGAGGATGTTGCCTTTGTTGAGAGCAGTTTCTGTGGGTCAGGGTAGGTTGGACACTAGATTGGGATGTGCTGTATGCTGAGAGGTGAAAAGTTGACGAGGATTGTAGATGGAGGTGCAGTCAACTCTTTGGCCATCTTGTTATGCAGAGGAAGAGAAAGATGAATTTTGTGCTTGTGTTTTTTTTATTTGATTTTTTTCTTTGAAGGGGAGATTTGAATACTATTTAAATGCTGATGGAAAGATAAAATAGAGAAGGAGTGGTGAAAGATACAGAGAAAAAAATAGTGTAAGGGGGAAGGTGAAGAACTCAGAGAATAGAAAGAAGCATTAGGATTAAGAGAGAAAATGATCACATCTTAAACTGGCGAAGAAGAAGAAGAAGAAGGAGGAGGAAGAGGAGGAGGAGGAGGAGAAGAAGAAGAGGAAGAAGAAGAAGAAGCAGCAGCAGCAAGGGTTTAGGACTGCATAAAGTTTGGTTGGAATAATTAAGTCATGCATACAAAATGTCTAATCTAGCTTCTGACTTATAGAAGGGGCCCTAAAAATGCTTGAAATCAAAATGATGTTATTGAAAACATCTCTTTTTACATTCTTTAAATTTAGGATATCAGTACTTCATATTTTTCCATGACTTTCAGAAGTATAAGTTATTTTTTATTGAAGAGTGATATATATGACAGGAGGTAGTTAATTCTAGGTTTGATCAAGCCCTTGTACTTTATTTTAACCAAAGATATCATTCTGAAGGAGCAATGGATTCCTATTCTCTAGAACGAATGTTTTTAAGGTTTTCATGTGTGAGGAATTATTTCCAAGTACAATCTGTGATGAAACCTCTGAATCATGTTAAAGAAAAGAAGCAAAATAAAAAAGTAAAACTAATTTTTTATTTATCATAGAATCCTGGAGCTATAAGGTTCTAAAATGGGTCGGTGCTCTGGCTTGAACATTTTTATTTTCAAATATCCAAGAAAAATTGCTGTGTAAAAAAAGACTTCCAAGATAATGCATGGTCTCTTCTCTGAAAATATCAGAACTGATTAGAATCTTGTTTTAACGTCCCCTCCTAAAATTTTTTAAATGTTAGACTTTTCCTTTTGAATAATCTGAAAAATTGGCACTATGCTTCCTTAAAGGATACTGTAAAAAAATAGAAAATGTTTTGGGTACTTTGCATTAACAATTATTTTTGACAATTTAGCAGTGCCTGAAATGACTCAATCACACTCAAGAAGTTAATTTAATGATATAAAGTATAATCACATTATGAAAAGCAATCAGAGAATTAGAAATTCTGTTTATGATATTCTGATATACGATGATTGGCATTTCATTAAATATTCAAAATTAAATTTTACTTGGGAATAATTTATACTTTTAAGTGTCTCAAGTCTCATGCTATTCATTATATATTATATTATATCTATTTTTAAAATCTGGTAAGTTAAGGGTCAAAAATCTTCTTTAAGAGGTGCATAAGGAACAGTGATTAAAATAAAACACAAGTGAAGACAAAGTAAACCAGGGAAACAAAAATAAATAAATATTAACATTAAAATTAAATATATTTTTACCATTAAAAATAAGCTGGGGTGAAAAGTACTCTCATACATTGAGAATAAAATCATAGAGAGAGGATTGTAGCTAAGCTTTGAGAGATTACAAACATAAAAGCTAGCATTTTTTATATGTATCTGGTAAGGACAAGTGCTTTATGAACATTGTTGCTAGTTTTCAAGGTAACTTTGCAATGAGGAGTATTATTTTTTTCATTTTATAGAAGAATAAACTTTAGCTCAGAAAGGTTAAAAAGCTTATCCTAAGTTACATACCTAGTAAATGGCAGAGCAAATAATTCAAGACAAGGATTTTAAAATTATTATTATTTCAAAGTCCATGATTTAAACTACATCCTCTGAGCTCTTGGATAGAAAGATAGGGGTTCTTGATTTGTGTGTGTGTGTGTGTGTGTGTGTGTGTGTGTGTGTGTGTGTGTGTGTGTGTGTGTGTATGTGGAGTTGGGGCGGGGACTGGGGAACAAAAACACTAACAAAGATTTTGACTTAGAGGCAGACAGCATGAGGGGTCCTACATTTACATCGGGATGGTAATTACTTGCAAGATAGATATCTGGTGGCTGTTGGAAGAAGAATCAATAAGGAAGAATAGCACTACACTCATGAGATAAAATTGATACTATTAAGATCTCTTTTCCGTACTTAAGAAAGATCTGCAGACCCCTTCTAAAATGGAACAGAGGGTGAGCTAGCAATCTATTAGCAAAGACCAAGGTCTAGTCTGGTGATGTTTCCACATCTATTTGAAACTTTGACTCTCACAGATGGATGAGGTTTTTGAAATCCAAAAGCGACCAGCTTAGAGGTTTGGATGTCTGTAGGATCTGACTACTTTCCCCATAACAGAAAATCTCAGCACCCTTGGAAATTCGCTGACAGCCAAGTCTTTGAGATTCTCTACTCTAAAAAATGGAAACAAGATAAATAAATTGTAGCAAAAATAGAGGAACTAGGTGTAGGATATGATAAAAGGTACTGGACTTTCTGGGGATGGGAGGAAGACATTGTCAAAGAAAAAGAGGATGAATAAACACAAAACAAGCTGCTTATACTTCAGCTTTGCCTGTTTTAGGAAACTGGGACATTTGTAAATAATTTGAAAATACAGTAGAAGGTTTATAATAGGGTTTCCGGAGTAATAGCTATTATTATTATTAGCATCAACATTATTAGTACATTTCAATATCTGTAGGTTGTTATACATTGATATTTTAGATTACTTTGTGATGCTCTGTCTCCATTGAAAGGAAGCATTGCAAATTGATCTGATTAAAAACAATGTTGGTTTTTTTTTTTTCTTTTACAAGGAAATCCTGGGCAAAAAGGCCAAAAGGGAGAAAAAGGAAGTGGAAACACACTAAGTAAGTCCATAGTCTTTTGCTTTCTGTGTGCATTTTTGTACTAAATAAGCTTGTGATATTAGTGATCTGTGTTTGAAGCAAAAGTTGAGAATTTCAGCATTTATCCAGAGAGATTCTATGGAAACCAACAACAGTTTTCTACAAATAAAACATGCTAATTGGAGTTAAACAAATATTATACAACTCTTTCAATTTCATTATCCATCTGTATTTTGTTTTGGTGATGAACATTATTTTCTAAAAATTTCACATAGAAAATTGTTCAATTTTTAAGACAATTTCTATCCACTGAGGAACTATCAAGCATCTGAATAGAAACAATTACAGCCTCCTCACTTAATAACTGAGCTAACTGAAACCTTATATATAAAAATATACGCAACTCCAGAACCCTGAAAGATTAATTATCTCATGGCTTGGGTTTTTTGTTTTGTTTTATTTTACTAAAAACTTTGAAAAAAAATAAAAAGGTATTCCATGTCCTAGACCTTTAAAACTGCAACAGAATAAATTTCACAACAAGAATCTTTGTCAATGGAATGCTGACCTCATGTTGCAACGTAGACCTTAAAAACTAAATATTAAATGAGATGTCTTCAATTTGCTGTGCCATAAGTAAATTGGTGTGTGTCTAGGCTGGATGTGTTCTAATAAAATGAAAGGATTAGGAAGAGGAAAGAGTAACTCCACACGATTTCTCAGAATCAAAGTTTCCACCTCTGTACTCCCAGTAGAAACTATATGTCATATGGGTGTGTGTCTATGGGAAGAGACTATATAATCACAACAGTCATAATCTTTACTCATCAAGGGTCTGTATTAGAGAGATTATGGCAAATCCTTTTATGTGCCAAAATCAAGCAGTTTTTAGGTGTAACCACTGTGTAAAAATAGACCCAATGTTTCTGCCTTAGCAAAAAACAGATGTTTTTACCTAATACCGTGTATGAATGCTACATTTAGACAACTTAAGGGTACAGGTGTGAATGCCAGTCATTGAGTAGCCATTAGTGTAATTGTGCACTTTCAAAGTTGACCACAAAGTATTGTGTGTCTTCTGAATACTTTAGTGTTACTTAAGTACTATTATTGTTATTATTATAGTAAGATGAGTATATATTTTCTCCTTATCCATTTATTCTTTAATGTAGTCACTTTTGTCTGTTGTATACCTTTTTGCTTCACTTGTCTTTCTGTCTCCTTTTCACCCCATTTATTTTCAGTTAAGCCTCTTGTAACTTTCTCTTTCCTATCTTTGTGTTTATCTTTATCTCTACCTTTATTTTATCTTTTTTAAAATCTTCTTTTCCTGAGGCTTTCTCTGAGCTTCTAAACATTCACTCTAGTCAAGTTTGGCAAATAAAAAACTTTTATGTTTGTAATCTATAAACAACTCACACATAGTTTTCTGTTAGCTAAAGTTATTAAATGCTTTGAGCATTTTTTTCAGATATGTTCAGAAATGTTTCAGTAACAGATATTTTCATGGCTATTAGGGATGTTTCTGTGTCTAATTGTAAATATTCTCTGAATTCTCCTCCAAGCTCTCCTTGTGCAGCATATGTAACAACTCTATAATGTCTTAAAAAGAATTATACATATAAATATTTAATATAGTGTGTTCTGCTTTTTGCTTATTTAAGTTCATGTGTCAGTCATTTGTCATATCATTACATATGGCTCTATGATTTTTCTCTCAATGGCTACACATTATTCCATTGTACAGCTAAATCATAATTACCATAATACAGTTATTCACTCTCCTAGTCATGAACACTTAACGATCTTTGTTTTCTTTGGTTAGGCCTTAATAAACAATATTGCATTGAACATTCTCATATATGATCTTATGGAAATACTTTTCAATAGAGAATTTGATAGAAGTAGAATCAATTATTTAAAGACTACATCCATTTCCATTTTACTATTTGATGGAGTTTTTGTAAATGGTTCCAAAAAGTGTATACCAACTAATTCTGTATGAAAGTGCATAATTCCCCCACAACTTTCATTAATTCTAATCTATGAAAATTTATGTTAAATTGTTTTACTATACATCTTTTATATTTTTAGGCATGATTTAAATATAATAAAAATAATCACTGATTTCCTCTTTTATGTATGTCAGGACCAGTACAACTTCCTGATCATTTTAGGGCAGGGTCTTAAGACACCCTCTGCCACATCTCATTAAAAGGCCCTTCATCTCTGGACGAGTCATCTGCACAACTGACTTCCAAGATTCCTTTGTGGCTCCTCCAGACAGCCTTGGTTTCCATGCGGCTTCCACATGGCTTCCTCTTCTGGTCCTCGCTGTTGTTGTTTGGGCCTCTGGTTCCATGCTCATACCTCTCCTTGCTCCAATTATCTCACTATCACCCCTGTCCCTAGGACTCCTAACCTGGAAACTTTCCATGGGCTGACACTGGCAGGCTACTCCAACTAGTCCTCAGGTGCCAGCCAGGAGCCCTCTGCCACCCATTCACCTAGAGTCTTGCTGAAACTAATTTAATCCACTGGTTTCTAGGAGAAATCTCATGAGTACTGATTACATGTGGATTCTTTATATTCAAACATTATTTTCAACCAGAGATAACAGAAAATCTATTCATTAATCACTAATTCATTCATTGATTTAGTATATGTTCATTGTGTGTCTCCATGAACTAAAAACAACAGCTTTTATATTTTTAGGCATGATTTAAATATAATAAAAATAATCACTGATTTCCTCTTTTATGTATGTCAGGACCAGTACAACTTTCTGATCGTTTTAAGGCAGGGTCTTAAGACACCCTCTGCCACCATCTCATTAAAAGGCCCTTCACCTCTGGACGAGTCATCTGCACAAGATTCCTTTGTGGCTCCTCCAAACAGCCTTGGTTTCCATGCGGCTTCCACATGGCTTCCTCACCTGGCCTCACAGAACTAGTTGTCCCTGAGAAACATAGATAGATAAACAGGCAATAACAATATTTCAGACTATACTGGGGGAAGAACAGGGCTGGATAGGTATCCAGCAAAGAAAAATTTTTGAATTCCTTACTATATTTTTAAAAATTGATTTTGATTTCTTATTCTCCAAATCACAGCTTTCTAAAAAATGTTTTAAATTCAGGTAAAGTGAACTTGGACATTTTATTTAACACATTTAAACCTAAAACAAAACCTGTTTTCTTACGTGACCTGGTCATTTCAAACAAATACATTTTGACCACACACACACACACACACACACACACACACACACACACAAAGCCATTTTTTAAATCCTAAAAGCTCTTTGCATGATATGCTATAAGTACTCAGTATAGACCTGGAAAAAAAGAAAAAGAGATATAGACTTCTTTGTATAGGTAAAAAAAAAGGGGGGGGGGGAAGAAAATGAGAAAGAAGAAAAAGTAAGAAAAGGCAGATAAAGAATAGAAAGAAGTAGGATTCTGTTATTTTTTAGTGTCTCTCTACTGATTAATAGACCACATTGTCACAACTCTCCTTTTCTTTAAGTTTTAACACATAGCCACAGAGTTCACATGTTCAAGGTTCCAGTAGAATTCTAAGTATGCCTATGTGTATATCCCCATTTCTGTTTCCTCCCCTGTATAATGAATATGTTAACACCTACCTCACAGGGTTGTTGTGAGGACCAAATATAATATTGTGTGTTTAAAGATGCTCTGTAAAATCATAAAGTGCTTTAAAGACATAAGGTATGGCTCACAGTACTCTCTGAACTGGAGTGGCTGTTGCTGGCTGGCATTATGCAGACATTTAAAATCTGTAATCAGAATAGGAGTGAAAGCAAAATGAAAATGCAAGAAGCCAAGTAAATGTCATGGACAAAAAGAGAGATGCTAGAGGAAAAGAAAAGATTTTATATTAGATAGAACAATGCAAGTGTGGCCAGATCACAAATCAATGAGTTTGTCTGAGCCAAGCAGAAGAGCGTTAGTTATAAATAAAAGAAGCGACTAAACAGAGTGCACACCAGAAGCAAGAAGCTGTCAACAGAGGTCAGAACAAAATGTCAGGCTAATAAAACAAGAGTCCAGTCTCTGAAGGACAATTCATGAGCCCAAGATGCAGCTGATGAGAAATTTCCAAGAAGGATTGAAGCAAATTAGATCTGCAATGGTACCCTGGGTTTATGCCTGCAATAAAATCTCCAGGGAAAAAAATAAAGAGGGAGGAATTGGCCAGTCATCCAGATAGTCCTGAATATTGGGCAGCTAGCAATATTGAATGGCCAATTAATACAAACATCTAGAGATAAATTGTATTTCTTTGTCCGTGGTTGAATTTAATGTGACTTCCTGTCCCACTCTGGAATGGACAGCATTGGAGACTCTCTTCAGCAGTCAGTCCACAGAATGGCCCTGATTCCAGAGATCCTGGGAGACAATTCCAGGGCATTCAGTTCAAAGAGCATCTAGCATCCCATGCAAAATATAGATTGTTAAGTGTGAAATACCCAAATTTTCCAAAAGGTCCCAAATGCCTGGTTCACATGCATAAATTATACTAACTTTAATAAGGTGTGCTGGAGAGACAAAAAAGTCTGCACCAAGCTCTATGCTCATCACAGTGAATTGCCTACTGTGTCTCACCCTAACTTGGAAGGAAGGGTACATGTTTCAATAAAACAAAATAATTCCTGCGATGTAATTAAACACTTGTGTGAGGCTCTGCCAAAGTATTCCAATTATCAATGTGTGCTTTGGTAGTGTTTCTTATCATGCTTTGTTCATGCCCAATGAGGCTACAACTAGGATATACATTTTGAGTATCTCATTTTGAAACTCGCACTATAATAGGAAAATCCATTTGTCTTTCACTGGATTTCTACTGAGGACTCAGCTCAACCTTAAATGAATATGCATCTTTCTCAAAGCATTCAGTTGATAAGTGAAGCCTTCTTCTCCAATCACTAAGTAGTTCTGATAATGAGTATTTAGAGAATACTTGCTGTACACCAGAAACTTTTGATGCATTATCACATC